TCCCAGTAGTAGGGCACATAGCTGACACCACTGTTGCCTTGACTTGTATCGTAGGCCTTGTTTCAGGAACGTGGCGAACTTGTTCTGAGATCCGCCGGCCCTAGGTATCTTAGGAGAAAGCTGACTTTCGTTTTCTTTGGGGTGGGCACCATCTTCCTGAGAGCAACCCGGCAGTTCTTGGCACTTTTGCTGGTACCCAGAAGGTTTTGGAGAGGAGACGGAAAGCTGGCACTGGGGAGTGCCGTGGGAAGCTGTGGGCAGGAGCAGAAGCAGAAGCTGCCCTGTGGGGCAGTGCGTTGTGGGGCGCAGCGTGGCCCTGCAGAATGCTGATTCTTTCGGCAGGACGTCCTCCTGCCCCGCACATTCGTGCGGTGAGCGAGGGAAGGGCCGTGCCAAGTTGGCTGTCACACCTGTGGTGGCAGAGGTGGCATTAATGGAAGAGGTTGATAAAGCCAGACCTGCAGCAGGCAGCATCTTCTCCGTAGGTTTTCCGGGGGACTTCAGGGAGCAGAGGTGATCCGGCAGGCAGCGCTGTCCCCAAGGCTGAGTGCATGTGTGCATACACTATTTACGTGTCTGCTCTTCTCCCTCTTTTCCTGCTGCTTGCCCAGGGAACCTGCAGCTCTCGCCCGTGGGACCTGCCAGGCCTGCGTCTATCGAACGCGTTCAAGGTATCCTGGCACCTGCCAGCTCCCTCCTCCCATGGAGCTCATTGTGGAGTGTGCAGAGAGCAGCTTTCACCCTGCTGTGCTCAGGGCCGGGGATTGGTGTATCACTCTACGTAGCCTGGCAGGGTTAGGAGGAGGCAGGATTTCCTCCGGGGCCTCAGGAGAGAACAGGCTAGCGCCGTGCACAGAGAGCCACCAGTGGAAAGGGAGAGCCTGCTTGGAGAGGGCCTTTGCCTAGGATCCAGCCCCTTTTGACACCTTGCTACCAGGAGCCTTCCAGGTCTTGCTTTGCTCCTGGCCCCACGTCGGCAGGGTGTCAATGCCCATGCTCATAGGGATCGCCACGGGGGCATCCCCGCTTGGTTTGGCCACCTGGTGCCGTAAGGAGCCTGAGGTAGAGCCAGGGATAAAATCAGCAGCCAGGGAAGGGGCTTCGGTGCGCTCCGGCCTTGTGTGAGGGGCTGCTGCCCCGGCGGTCAGCCGGGCTCACCCGCCTGCGCGCCAGGGAGCAGTGAGGCCGCCCCGCACCCCAGCCCCAAGAGCGCTGGGGGACAGTCTCAGCACGGCACTGGTCATGCAGATCCTCACGAGCTCTTGTGTGTCTCCCTGGCAGTGCCCATGCCAGACCCGAGGGCCCCTATGCAGCGTGGACCTCTACCTGCTAGTGGCCCGCCGCCCCGAGGCCTTTTGGGAGATGCCCCGAATGACCCTCGCGGAGGGACCCTGCTCTCAGTCACTGGAGAAGTGGAGCCCAGGTGAGGGGAGAGGGAAGGAGAGGAGCCCTTGGCACTGTCCCCTGCCCAAGGGTGACCTCTCGCTGAGGACAGGGATGGCACCAGCCTTCCGGGAGTCACCGCTGCCTGGTCGGAGGCCTGTGTGCTGCCGACTGCGGGGGCCGGCCCGTTTCCCCGAAAAAGTGATGGCAGCAGCCCTGTGGCATGGGGCCGACAGCACCCGTCCCTGTGCCAGCCTCGCCCTCCTCCCCTGCGGCCGGCTTCAGGGGCAATCCCAGCGCTCTGCCCAGACCGTGCCAAGCCAGCGTCTGATTCACACTCTCTCGCTTTTTCTCCTCCTCCTGCTTTGCTCTCCTCGTCTCTCTGCGTCAGAGGTTACCTTGGGCCGCCCCACCAGGGAGCCCCTATGCACCATATGCCTGGTCATGACAGCCGTGGCCCCCCCCATGAGATGAGGGGGGGACCCATGGGAGAACCCCGACCACTGATGGGAGAGCCGCGGGGGCCCTTGATGGATGCTCGAGGTGAGAGAGGGGGCATGAAATAGCGGGTGGCTTAAAGCGTACAGACAAGAAGTCAGAGTGGAGCCCGCTGCCCCGGCACGAGGCGTAGGAAGGGGGTTTGGGCAGTGAAGCAACTGACCCCAGGGCAAGGAGGGACAGTCCCACGGGGCAAGGGACTTCTGCCAGGCATGTCCCCTCTGCCCCCAGCTCTGCACCTTCCAGGCGTTTGCTAGCCCCCAGGCAAAGGAGGCAGCGGGCTCGCTCCCACGTTCCCTGTGGCACTGCTCCCTTCAACAGCTTGCCTTGTCTTTCCCCTGCAGTCGGAAGAGATCCCCGAGGGCTGGAGCCACGAGGATTGGAGCCGCGAGGGCTGGAGCCCCGGGTGATGGAGGCGCGAGCCCTGGAGGCACGAGGCCTGGAGCCGCGGGTCCTGGAGCCACGAGTGCTGGAGGCCAGGGCCATGGAGGCCAGGGTCATGGAGCCCCGGGGCCTGGAGCCTCGAGGGCCTGGTCCCAACCCACGTGGCCCCATGCCTGGTGGGATACAGGGTCCTGGGCCACTTAACATGGGAGCCAGTGGCCCGCAGGGGCCCCGTCAGGTACAAACAATGTCTCTGCTCAGCTGTTTGGGCACTGACGGTGTCTTGTAGGTTGGGTCTGGGTTGGGGGTGTGATCGCGTCCTGCGGCAGCTAGAGAGGGGAAGGTGTCCCGCAGAGCGGCGCCTCCAGGAAGCACAGGGCGTGGGTCAGCTCTCTGAGGGGGCTCTCTGAGGGGTTTGGGGCATCAGTCCCATCTCCCCAGGCACTGCCCATCTGCTGGGGACTAGACGAAGCTCGGGCTTCTCTCTACCTCTTCCTGACGCGCAGGAAGGAGTGCAGGAGTTGGAGGGAGAGGAGAGCACGTAAAACGCACGGTAGCCTGTCTCTCTTCATGCTCGGGCATCTTCAGGCTGGCTGTGGGGGCATCCATCTGATCATCTGCTTTACATCCCTGTATTTGTATGGCTGAGTCTAGAGACCCCTTGGTCCTTACCCCCTCTCTCGTGCCTACAGGTTCCTAACATGGCAGGGGCAGGCATGCAGGGAGGAGGCCTTCCTGGGGCCGGGGTCCAAGGCGGCTCAGCCCGGAGGCTTTAGCCCTGGACAGAGCCAGGTCACGCCCCAGGATCATGAGAAGGTGAGCGGACAAAAGGGAAGGGGTGAGACACCGAGAGCAGCACTTCCTTCGTGCCTTACTGTGGCGGGGACAGCCCCTTCCTGGCTCCGGTAACCCGTGGCTGCTCTGGCAGGACACGTCTGATTCCCCCCTCTCCCCACAGGCAGCCCTGATCATGCAGGTTCTGCAGCTGACAGCGGACCAGATCGCCATGCTGCCCCCAGAGCAACGGCAGAGCATCCTCATTCTGAAGGAGCAAATCCAGAAGTCCACGGGGGCACCCTGACAGGTGATGTCCTTAACCCAGCCTCGGCCTGTGCCTGCTCCCCTTCAGTAAATCACAGAGCTGCTCAGGATGGGGCTCTACCCTGCTTTTCCTCTCCATGCCGGGGCTCACTCTCCTCCCCTTCCTTCTCGCAGGCCTGGCAGGCGCGTGGTGGAGATGCTGTCTGCCTGGACAGAGGCAACGCTCCGTGGCAGCTGCTTCCCGCTGCTGTCTGAGCTGATGCTGTGTTTTGGGAGAGGTTTCTCCTTCCCGCTAACGTTTTCATCCTTTTTTCTGTGTGTATATTTTATGATGTTTGAAATAAAGTGGGAGGAGGGTTTGAGTAAAGCCATGTCTCCAGCTGCCTTGTTTGGTCTCTCGTGGAGGCTGGAGTTGGGACTCTTGGGTTCTGGGAACAGTCTGACCTGGCTTCAGGCTAGTCCAAACCACTCACCTTCCTCCCTTCTCCCCAGCACCAGGGCAAGATCTACATGTGGGATTTTACGTCCCGTGCTGTACACGGCTGCTCACGGGGGCGTAACGGAAGGGCAGGACACGGAGCTCGGCTTTCTGCCCCTGCTGACCGGGCGGGAAGGGCTCCGTATCCGATTGCTGTATCGCTTACCTCGCCGGCCTCCTCAGGGAGAGTGGTTTTCAACTCTTCTCTGCATATGCTTGAGCAGAGCTTGTTGCCTTTGCATGAGCTGCGTTTGAAGTCAGCCTGTGCGCTGGTGTGTGCCGGGCGGGTGGTGCAGGCTGGCTCTGGGTGGTGGCAGCGAGCCCCCGCGGAGGAGGAGTACCTTACCCTGCACCCCAGAGGGTTTGCTATGAACCAGCTTTTTTATTGCAGCCCTACAAGGGGGCAAAGAGTGGGCTCCCTTCGCGCCTGCATGGCCTGAGTCACCAGGGAGGCTTTTACTGCAACGGAAAGCACGTTTAATTTACCCTTTTACGTGAAGGACTGTTTAAACCCAGAGGGGCATGTTTGGCCCCCAGTGCCCGCTCGGCATGCCCCTCTCCCGTCCCCATCCCCGTCCTGTGGTTCTGCCCAGCCTGCTGGGTGCTCCTGCTGCTTCCCGCTGCTCCAGCAGCAGCATCACGGTCTGTGCCTCTGGTTTCTCGACGGGGGGCCGTGCGGAGCTGCAGCCCCACTCCCCCCATGGGGACCCCTTGTAGACCAGGTTGAGAGGGCGGCAGTCTCTCAACCTAGAGTTTCTCATGGAGAAGGAGTACCTTGCCGTGTCTTGCCTGGATTCTGTGCACACACTCTTCAGCGGGTGCTTATCCCTGGCCACGCCAACTCACTCGGGGGTTGAGGTGAGACCGGCAGGGTCTCCTGTCCACTGGGGTCCCAGCCTGGCTGCCACTTAGAAGTTCTCCTTGTTGAAGTAGAATTTGACCTTCCTGGGGTCCAGGCTGGAGTGTTGGTGGCAAGACTTCTGCAGGGTCTTCGCCAAGGCCCCTGGCCCGCAGAGGAACACGCCGACCACCGACCTGCACACAGCACGGGGACGTCGGCACCGGGCGGGCAGCTCAGGGAAAGGTCATTTAAGAGCTTTCTGGGGTCCCTGCAACCTGCAGGGGATGAGCACGCCCCTCCCAAAGCCAGCGCTGCCCAGCCCGGTGCTGGGTGCCGGGGAGGAGGGGGTGCCTCCCAGCTCCGGCACTCTGAGCCCCCTGCCCGGCTCTCACCTGGGGTGGGCTGCAGCCACCGCAGCAAACTCGCTGTTCCACATGGGCCGCCCAAAGATGGTTTTGTGCCTGAGGCCCGTCACCGTGTCCGTAGCGGTGTCGAAGTGGAGCGCCACATTGTTGGCCTGGGCAGAGCAGGGACGGTGAGGACCCCAGCCACCACCCATAAACCCACCTCCAGTCCCTCACCACGGAGGAGCATCCCTTGCTGATGCCCACCAAACACCGCTCCCAGACTTTCTGCCTGCAAGCCATTGACGTGCTTGCCCTGCCTCTCCTGCCTGACTTGGCCACCCCGTGTCCCCCCTCGCAGTCATGCCTGCCCGTGGTTGACTCACAATGCTGGTGTCCCAGCCAGTGAGGAAGAGACGATAGGTGAGAAAGTCCGCCTTGCCCGACTCTGCCATCTTCTGCTCCAGCGAGGCAAGCAGGTCGTTGAACCAGGCGAAGGCTCCCGTGTCCCGGCAGAGCCAGTAGAAGTAGATCTGGGATGCAGGGGGAGAGGGGTTGCTCAAGGTGGAGCAGAGCAGGAGGGGTGGGAGGATGCAATGTCAAGGACTGGGAAGCCCAGCATGGAGAAACCCACAGGTGGTCCCATGGGACACCCCATACCTTCTTGGTCTTGAGAGTCTGGTCAGCCTGCTGGAACTTGTACCAGATGGACTTCAGGATGGAGGCGAAGGGGGTGACGCCGATGCCCGCTCCCACCAGCATGGCCACCTCGTACTGGAACACGTCTTCGCTGGCCGTGCCGAAGGGGCCATCCACCTCGATCCTGGCCGAGGGAGGGCCTGGGTAAGAGGTACGGCCTCCCCAAATCCCCGGGATGGTCTGTTCGGTCGCCCCCCAGTCTACCTGGGCTTCTCCAGCTTCTGCTGCTGGAAGGTGTCAATGAGACGCTCCGTCCAGTCGCCGGCCGCCCGGATGTGGATGGAGAAGAAGTCCTCCTCGGGTGCTGAGGTGAGGGTGAAGGGGTGCCACTCTAGCAGGGAGATGGCGGGGCAGTTGACGAAGATGTACTGCCCCACCTCCATGCAGAAGCCCTTCTTCTGCATCTGCAGCTCCAGCACGCGGGCAGGGTGCATGACCACCTGCGGGGCAGGGATGGGGCTCAGCACCCAGCCTGGCTCCTGTCCCTCGGCAAGGGGCTTTGGCAGCGGCCCCTGCCCGCCTCCCCATGGCCACCCCGGCAAGGAGCTGCGGCACCGGTGGCTGCAAGGGAAGGAGCTGGCAGTAGGCACAGGCTCCTGCACCACCCACCTTGGTGACAACCACCTTCTGTCGTGCACGCCAGACCCGGAGGATCCGCTCGAAGATGTAGAGGAGGACGGGGGCCAGAACCCACTTCCAAGACTGTGGGGATGGAGGAGAGCAAAGGGTTGGGGAGGGCCAGGGCTGGAGCATCCCAAGGGCAAGGGAAGGGCTTCTCCCCCCACAACCGTCCCACCGCTGCCCTACCTCAGCAGGGATGCTCCCGAACTCGGGGTCTTTGCAGCAGTCATGGCTGCAGTTCTTGTCCTTGTGCATGAGATATTTGGCACAGCGATGGGGGTGCACCTCCTCCATGCTCTCCTCCGTCTGCCCGCGCACCAGCCCGCTGCGGGGAGGCAAGGGGTGAGCCCAGGGCTGGCTCCTGCCCCCCCGACTGGGGCTGAGCCGCACTGCATGAGGCTGGCTGGACTAGCCAGCCCTGGGAATGGGGACCCCACAGCCCCACTGGACCCTTTCTGGGGCTGCACCGCTCCCCCGGGGCAGGCAGGGCTGCCCCACCGGGTATCTGCGGCCACTGCCCCTCGCTGTCCTGCCTTCAGGGAGCGGTGAGGAGCCTTACGCGATGCCGTGGATGATGAGGCCGGCGAAGTAGATGAGGAAGAGGTGGTGCGTGTACCAGAAGACCTCGAAGTAGTTCCTGCGGATGAACTCAGTAGAGGACGTGACCATGAGGATGAGCGCCAGTGTGATGATGACCCCCGTCAGCCCCGGGATGGTGGTGAAGGCCACGTACTCGACGGTCTGCAGGGGCGGCAGGATGGGTTAGAGGGGCAGGGGACAGACAGTAGCATGGAGCTAGATGCCGGGACCAGCAC